CGTGCGTGCCCAAGATCCCGAGAGGAGAATGGAGGAGAAGGGATTGCGGCGTGACCATCCCCCCTGGGGGGTGATTTCTCGCTTTCTGTCTCTATGTCTCTGTCTGTCTGGTGAGCGCACGCGCCCTACAGTGAAAATCTCTCCAAAAAAAAAAAAATATATATATATATATTGGGGACAGGTGCTGGTATTGCGGTAAAACACAATGCTCTGTGAGACTGACTCACGTAGGAGAAGGTTCTAGTTCCGTTCCAGGGATCTCCCTAATGCAGGGCACAAGAATGCCATGATCTAAGGTGTATCTAAGGGGGTTCACAGTGTCCAAAACCTATTCGGTCTGCTCATTCATCTTCTCTCTCTCACATGGAAGAAATAAACAATTTTTTTTTAAATTGCTTATAACTTTTATCTCAATGCCTAGAAAGAGTGATGAAAAAGAATTTATTCCAACTGAAATTATGTGTGAACGACCAATATTGTTTAGAATATGATATAAAATTAGCATACTATTTTTTGGTTTGGGGAGGTTTTGCTATAGGGCACGTGCACGCTCCAGAAAGGCAGAGAGAGACAGAGAGACAAAAAAAGAGAAATCACCCCCCAGGAGGTATGGCCACACCACAATCCCTTCTACTGCATTCTCCTCTTTGGAGTCTGGGCACACACTCACACATGCCTGGTGTGAGTTTAAGCCACCAGGTCCAAGACTTGAACCGTTATCGACTACATGGGAATCCAGCAATGTAGCCATTATGCCATCTGCTGGTCCCCTAACTAGCATACTTTTTAAAAAGAGTATTGTGACCAGTAGATGGCATAGTGGCTACGTTGCTGGACTCCCTCAAGGCTGACCACAATTCGAGTCCCGGCCCAGTGTTTTGAAAATCATGCCGGAAACTACCGTGTGTGCCCAAGATCCCAGGCGGAGAATGGAGGAGAAGGGATTGTGCTGTGGCCATCGCTCCTGAGGAGTGATTTCTCACTTTCTCTCTCACTGCCTTTGTCTCGCTCTCTCCATTGAATGAAGATGGTCTAAGGCAGAAACCTCTTAAAAATAAATAAATAAGAGTATGCATAGTCAGATTTTAAAACAAAATAGTCATCTCTACATTGTTGCTTTTGTTATATACTTTTTCTATTCAAATAATTATATCTGTTGAATAAAATAGCTTGTTTTCTGACATCCATTAATATATCAATAATCATCCTCCTTCCCAATACCACACTACACCCCATCTCTTTCTCCATGGTCTTATTTTTTGTATAGTTCTCAACTTCTAATATGATCTGATATTCAATTCCTGTAATGCAGGATAAACTATTGTCAATGTTGAAATTAAATTTAATATGTAATCTTTTTAGGAAAAGAATATCTTGGTGTGAGTACGTATAGGCATAAGTTATTGGTAATGATGAGGTTGTGTGTGTGCATTTGTGTGTGTCTATATATATTGAATTTTTAATACATATCTATATTTTTTCTCATACTGTTAAAGTAAAATGTTAAAAAGGATCCCTTGGGTGAATTAATTATATATTTACCAAAAGATTGTGGTTTTTTTAATTGAAAAATGTATATTTAACATAGATTTCTACAAGTTGTGTTTTTTTGTTTACTTGTTTCTATGTTTTGCTATAAGGCACATGTGCTTGCTGGAGAGAGACAGAAAGAGAAAGGGGAAAATTGAGAATTCACTCCCCAGAGAGGATGGTCATACCATAATCTCTTCTCTTCCATTCTCCTCTTAGTATTTTGGGTACATCTACACACACAGATTACATGTTTTACAAGTACCTGGGTCCAAGATTCAAACCTATAGTCAGCTATGTGAGTTCTAGCCATCTTAACCACTATGCCACTAGCTAACTTATATAATTTTTAAAATAATGGGGAAAATTCCTATTATTTAGTTTCTCTTATATAATCTCAAAAAAGAGTAAATAATGGCTCTTGTTTGTTTCTAAAACTTTTATTTTCCAGGGTATTAGACACACATCTCTCACTTGATTCACCAAAGCATAGGAGAGGAAAAGAAGTCAGGGACTGTACTGGTCTCGTCATCTTCACTAAGGACTCTTCTTGGACTTTTCTTTCCAGTTGTAATTTCAATTTACTTATAAGTATTTTATATCTTTGTGAGGTACAGTATAGTGTTCTAAGTATGTGTACAGTGTGTAATAATCAAATCAAAGATGTAAGTGCCTTCACCATCTCCAGCATTTAACACCACGTTGTTTTGTGCATATCCAAAAATCACTCTACTGATTTTTAATCAATCTACTGATTTTGGGATATATATATTTTTGGATAATGTGTATGTATATTATTTGTATGATATATATATATTATTTTACAAATAATATATTTTCATTACTCTACTGTGTTACACAGCCTCAAAACCTATTCCCCAAGGACCAGCAGGTGGTGTGGCGGGTGGGGGGGGGCTTACTTTCTCCGTTTCCTTCTCTCTTTCTCACTCTGGCTCTCTCTGGTCAAATTTGAGAAATAATAATAATAAATTTGAACAGATAATTCTTTAAAAATATCTATTTGACGTATATACATGTAGTTTAGTATCTTTTAAACAGTTTCATCTCATCCTTTCCTCTTCCCCTCATCCAGTATCTAATATCTAGTATCTCCATTACTCTTTCTATTTCTATGCCATTGAGTCCTTTAGCTTCCCCTAATGAGAAAGCTCAGTATTACGTGTGGACATACAGTATATTTTTTGAATTATTTTACTTTGTATTGTATTTTTCTGAATCCATTCACTTTTTCTTTGGAATGAAGAGTTTTCTCTTGGCTGAGTAGTATCCCATGATGTATAAATACCATTCTTTCTCCATTCATTGGTTGTGGGGCATTTAGGCTGAGTCCATGTTGTACCTATTATAACTAATACTGTAGTAAGCATGAATGTGCAAATATCTCTTGGATTGATTGATTGCCTATCATTTGTGTATATAATCTACAATAAGACTACTGAGGTAAAAGGTGGTCTTTTGTTTAGATTTCTGAAGACTGTACTATTTTCCAGAGCAGCTGCACGGGTGTACATGCCACCAGCATTGCCTGTGGTTTCCCCTTTTTCATGGTGTTGATAACACCTGTCCTTAATTTTTTGTCAATAGTCATTTTGACTGAGGTTAGATAGCTCATTGTAGTTTGATTTGCATTTCCCTTTTGATTAGTGATTTTGAAGGTTTTTTTCATGTTTTTCTGGCCAAGCTGTGAAAAAGAATGCCTTTCTCTTAACTTCTGTGTATCTTCTTTGATTTTCTTTCTTCTTTTTTTGAAGAGGTTTTTGCTATAGGGCACATGTGCTCACCAGACAGACAGAGAGAGACAGAGAGACAGAAAGCGAGAAATTACCCCCCAGGGGGGATGGTCACAATCCCTTCTCCTCCATTCTCCTCTCAGGATCTTGGGCACGCACGCACACGCACCTGGCGTGAGTTTAAGTCGCCAGGTCCGGGACTCAAACCACGGTCGACTACGTGGGAGTCCAGTGACATAGCCATTACGCTAACTGCTGGCCCCATAATTTTATTTATTTTTAAAAACAGTTTATTAGAGCTCTATAACCTCCATAGTAAAATTTATTCTAAGGTACTTACGTGTGTGTGTATATATATGGCAATTGTAAATGGGAACTTTTCTCTTTTTTAAAAAAAAATGCAACTTCTTTTTTTTTCATTAACAGTGGGCATGTGCACTCACCAGAGACAGAAGGGGAAAAGAATCCCCCAAATGGGGCAAACCACAATATTTTTTCTCCATTTCACCATAGCATCAGGATCCTGGCCATTTACACACACATGCCAGGGAAGTTTTCAAGCTGCTGGAGTCAGGATTTCAACCACAGTCGGCCATGTAGGATATGACTTCTTGTGTACAGAGCTTTATCATGGTGTTTCAGGGCTTGTAAGGCATTCTTTTCTTTTTTGCTCTCTCAGCCTGCTCATTATTAGTAAATAAAAATGCTATACATATTTCTCATACCCTTTTATTTTATGAGAACATACTATCCCTGAGCCAATAGTGAGGGACAGTAGAATGAAGTAGGGAAATTCAGAGAGTAATCAACATTCTAGAATCCTGGTATAAATATTGGTTATATGACCCTTACTAGGTGACTTGAGAAACCAAATAGACTTCATGTCTAAAATGTCTGTGGGTGAGAAGAGAGGAAATATTTGATATCTCAGTTGAAATTTCCCGTTGGTCAAAGGTTTTCATTAACTCACTCACATTCCCACATTGCAGAGGGAACACTCAGTAGGGTGCGATTGTGGTATCAAATGATGAGTGTGGGGAAATGAAGAAAAGTCATGCTAAAGACTGTTGAACTGGGACCAGCAGATGGCGAAATGGCTACGTCGCTGGACTTCCATGTAGTTGACTGCGGTTTGCGTCCCGGACCTGGTGACTTAAACTCACACCGGGTATGTGTGTGTGCATGCCAAGATCCTGAGAGGAGAATGGAGGAGAGGGATTGCCTGGGGAGAATGAGTCTCACTTTCCGTCTCTCCGTCTCTCTCTGCCTTTCTGGAGAGTGCATGTGTCATTTAGCAAAAACCTCTCAAAAAAAAAAAAAAAAAAAAAAAAAAGGGCTGTTGAACAAGCCTCCATAGTGCTGCTTGGTTTTGGAAACAGAGACATTATTATTATTATTATTATTATTATTATTATTTTTGCTTGCTTGCTTGCTAGGTTACAACCAATCACAGGCATCCTGGCTTTCAAACTTTGTTAACGCAGGCAAACTTTGGAATGTAACCAACACAAGTCATTTCTCTACCTCATCCTTTCATTTTCCTTTTTGTATATTACTTTCCCTTTCCAGAACTTAAAATACCCCATTGACCAGGATGCTACGGGGAGTTGTCAGGAAATTGGTTGGGGACAACTGTCTGATTAAAATCATGTGAAGATTTGCCTAATTAAAACTCCACTCAATTAGATTGGCCTTTTTTTTTTTTTTTTCTTTTAACAGGCCTAATGAGTGTGGGGACCACCTGATTATTCTTCAGGAAGCTAGCAGTAGTTCTTTCACTGCAGTCTCCAGGACAAGAGACAGGTGAGACCAACAGACTCAAAGTAATGACAGAATGTCTAATATAGGAAGGTATGTTGGCACAGACCCGTAATACTCATCATTTGATATATAAGCATACTTTTTTCTTAAGAGAGCCTAAAAGAGTAAATTCTGTACTTAAGGTTATAGATAGCTCTTTTTATTCCTACAAGACCTAGGTTATAATAGATAATATTAAAATATCAAATTAACATATTTTGGCTTCAGTTTGATTATCAGAAATGAAGACATGCAAAAGCCCTAGTGCTTCTTTATGTGACAAGTTTAAATTTTGTTATTAATTCTTGTTTTCAGATTGTTCTGCATTATAAGGAGGGTGCCAGAAAATTTAATTAACATAAGAATAAATGCCAATGGAGGATGAGAGTGATGTTGCTATTCAAATGAAGGGGAGAAGAAGCCTGACTCAGTTGCCAATGACTTTGAAAATGGTAGAAGAGAAATAACATTTGCCTAGGTTCATTCTGAAAATGCATCAGACTGCAAATTTCTTTGAAATAAAAGTTCAAAAGTAAATGCTAACACTGTGCAAATGTGGTTTTGTGCTAATGCAAGATCCTGTCTTGAAGCACCAGGTTATGTTTCACATTGTCAATTAAAGACATCAAGAATGATATGTGGAATTTTAGTGAGACATGTTTGGAAACTGCCAAGCTTGTCTTAAACATTTTAAAAGAGAGAAAATTTCCCAACAACAATGTAAAAGGGTTCCTTTTTTAAATACAGCATCACCCACATTTGTCTTTTATTTTTTATTTATTTTTTTATCCCAGACATTCTAACTGAGATTAAATGGTATCTCATTATAGTTTTGATTTGCATTTCCCCTATGACAAGAGAGAGTGGAGTGGGTGGTAGATAGTGGGTGCAAGGGGAAAAGGGAAGAAACATTTACAGACAAAGGAATGTAACGTTCTCTTACAAAACTAAGTGCTTTATTGAAAAATAAAAAAGAGAGTGACTATCTTTCCAAATAGAGTGCTAATTGAAAGAAAATTTATGTACTCAATGAACAAATGGAACAAGTATAGTATTTGACAATGGAACTGACTTTTCTGCTTCAGTAAAGAATATCTTCTTTACTATTTTGTTTCTGTGTTCTCTGTTTTATTTTATTGTCAACAAGCACTCTGCAAATAACACTGAAGAAGAATAACAAAGTTTGATCATTCTTGTGAAATTATCCATTATATTTAATAAAAGTAGGGTTTAAGCAATTTGTAACTATTAAGACACTTAAAGATTTATTATGATATAGAAGAGAATAAGAAGTTTACTCTATTTATGCAGAAGTACTAAGAGTTTGTGGAAGATGTACTGAGAAGTATTTGATTTGAAGAGACTTTCTAATCACAAAAGAAAATCTAGAAGATTTGTTAGTGAAGTGAATGCTGAACAAATCTAACCATATAATTAGGTGAATTTTGATTTAGATGTTTATAGTTCTTATTATACATGTTGCTGAAAATATTTTTGTCAAAATGATAGCTTTAAAAATAACACGTGTTTGGACTAGCTCATGTTGTAGTGATTAAGGTGACTGAATCCTACTTGACTAACCCTGTCATTTAAGTCTTGGACCCAAAGTTTGAGAAACATGTAGGGTACGTGTGCATGTATGTTCAAAATCCTGAAAGGAGGGAGAGATGGATGAGAATGGACAAGCATGACCATGCTCCATGGGGAGGTGCTTTCTCATGTTCCTTTTCCTTTCTCTTTCTCCCTCTGTCTCTTCTGTCTGTCTCTTCTATCTGTCCCTGCATGTACTCTTTTGGAAAAAAAAATAATAAAACCTTGATCAAGACATAGTTTTTCATTTTGAAGAAAATGATTTTTAGATTTTTAATTAGAAATTTTCTCATCTTTTAGGAGCAGAAATTGTAAGATGCTGGAAATTCATCTGAATTCATTAACTTTTATTTATAGAACATTACATTTAAAATATGAACTCATAATCTCTCTTCTTGCTCTTATAGACAGCAAAATTATATATTTTTAAAAATGATATTTTCGTTTTCCTTAAGAACAATGAAAATGAACAATATGAACTTATAAAAACCAATTTTGAAATAGACTCTAGGTGCAAAGCATAATCATTTTCTCATGTGATAAAACAAGCTAACATTTTCTTAACTATGGGTCCCAGCATTTTTTTTTTTTTTTTTTGGTTTTGCCATAGGGCACATGAACTTACCAGAGCATGACAGAGGGAAATATAAATTATCCCCCAGTGAAGATGGCCATGCTGCAGTCCCTTCTCCTCCATTCTCCTCTTGGGATCTTGAGCATGCACTCACATGCACCTGGCTTGATTTTCAAGTCTCTGGGCCTGGGACTTGAACCATGATCAGCTCTGTGGGAATCCAGTGCCTTAACCTTCAAACTATTTCCCAGTCTCTCCCCTAGTACTTTTTAAAAGTCTTTCTTTCTTTCTTTCTTTCTTTCTTTCTTTCTTTCTTTCTTTCTTTCTTTCTTTCTTTCTTTCTTTCTATTTATTTATTTTTATGATAGTTACATTACAGATAGAGGAGAGAGGAAGAATTAGAAAGAGGGAGAAAGATACTATTGACAAGGTTTTGTTGCATCACACACTCTCCTTCAGTCATTCAGCTGTTCAAAATCTTAGGCATACTTGTTTCAGGTCCACTGGAATGTGCATCTGAACCTACTTTTGGGCATGTGGCTTCTAGCACTGCAATTCAGTATGCTAACACCTGTCCCAGTGTGATAATGCTATTGGATCCACATAGGAGGGGCCCAGATACATGCCTTGAACTTACCTAAAGATGTTAGGAATATGCACACATGCCTATGATCCAGGATGACTGAAGCTGGGCATGAATCATGGCATGGAGACTCTGTTATGGATGCTGTCTCTCTTTCTGTCTCTCTCTGTGGATATAAATTTGTTTAAATAAATAAGGGAAATAGCATGTTAATTAAAAATTTATATTGAAAAACTTAAAAACATTAATTAGGACTACTTTAATTTCTTTCAGTGTTTTCTTTACTTTTTAGTGTATAATGAAATAAAAATACATATTTATTTTTATATTTTGATCATAAAATAGACTAAAGGAAAATGTCACAAGTACATTCTATGAAAACTTTGCTTATTTGAGTTTGTGTGAAATTCATAGTAGAGATCATTATTAGATTTTCAAAAGAGTAAGTATAGGATAGTGATCATACATTTTTTTTTTATCTAAAAAAGAGAGAGAAACTTTCCTTCCAAGTAGAGTGTCAACAGAAAGTCTGTGTACTCAATGAGTAAATGAGACATGCGTAATGTTTTGCAATGCAACTGACTTTTCCACTTTAGGAAAGAATATCTTCTTTAATCTCTTGTCTCTGTGTTCTCTATTTTATTTTATTTTCAACAAGTGCTCTACAAATAATACCAGAAAAGAAGAAAAGAAAAAAAAGTTGCTTATTCTTGTGAAAATCATACATTATATTTAATAAAGCAGGGCTTTAATCATTTGTAACTACTTAGAAACAAAGATCTGCCATTTATCTATGTGATGAGCATGAAACCTTTCTGTACATGGAGATTTGGGAACATGCAGAGGTGGAGTTCAGCATCTCTAAATGTGGTCACAGTATACAGATCATGAGGCATTAGAAGTCAAGTTAGCCTGAGTTTTCCTAAAGTTAGATTTTGGTTTTAATTTTTTGGGGGGACCTGGAGAAAAGTATCATACATTTGCATTTTCTAGTTCAGTTCAGCTGTCCCTGTAGCTGCAGTTCCAGCGCTGATGGTGCCAGCTGGTCTGGGAGCAGAGAAGAAACCTCCTAGAGGTTCTATGGAGTGTGAAAAGAAAAGATAAAACAAGCTATGCATGTGGATTTCAGTCATCATGTTTTTAATTTCCTCTCAGATTTTTAAGTGTATTTATTTTTTCTGTGAGAGAGGCTGAGACAAAGAAACAGCACCCCCCAGAAGGTCTTGACTCAAAATTCACACCCAGTCTCTCAGTCAGCCTTGGTCTTGGGAAGTGCGTGACTGGAGTACTCAGGACGGACTCCAGAGAGGGAAATGTAATATCCCTCCGCGGGATGCCTCCCGGGTATCGTGTTCTGCTGCTCCCACTGTTTAGTCTCCCTACTGAATTTTAAAATTTGATATTTTCAAACTGGGACAAAAGCTGTAAATGTACCACAATACGATAAAGATGTTACAGATGAAACCATCCGCCAGTGTTTACCTATTTGCATTTGTCTATAAATATATTTACAGTTCTCTGTCTCACCATCTGACGACTGGACTCCGTCATGCGCACCTGTTTCTCTAATCGTAAGCAGCGTTTCTGGAGGACATGTTTTAATTCACAAAATAAAATATTGCAAGTCATTTTTTGAGACATTGATTGTATGTTTTAGACCTATTTAGAGGAATACACAATTTTTGCATTATAAATTATCAGTATGAATATTAAATAATTCTATAAATGAATGAAGTATGTAATAGAATTATAGCATAAAGAAATGTGTTCAATGGCCACACTGCAATGCCCTCTCCTTCAGTCTCCTCTAGAGATTCTGAGCACACATGCACATGTTTTTAGCATGATTTTCAAGCTGCTGAGTCCAAGATTAGAACCACTTAGTTGCCCAAATAAAATTCAGTGCCATAACCACCATGCTACCTGCTGGCATCATTGTTTTGAAAGAAAAATAAATAAATAAATAAATAAATAAAATATATATATACTTAATTTTAAACTGTGTATATATATATATATTTAATTGAAAGATATTGTAAAAATATATAGAGATTGATAAATAATATATATGTAAATATATATATAAATTATATATATACACATTAAATTAATAAATATTATATAATATATTATATATGTTTACTTAATTTGAAAAATATTGTAAAAATACAAACTCATGCATACCAATTATATTTTTATCTCAGGAATTTTATGCTTGCTGTTTTCTAGATATGGAATGCTTATCATTTAGGTCTTATTCATAAACTACAATCACCTTTTTAAAGTCTTGCCTTTTTATCTCTATATATGAGTATTTCTAGATTTAACCTTTCCAGATATTACTATTTAAGATCATGGCCCCTGTAGTTTTGTCTCTTTATCCTGGTTTACTTGTCATGGTATAATTGTTTATATAATATACATAATATTTTATTTCCACAATATCACCAAGAGATCTTAATAGTAGTCAATTGCAGTAACTCTGATAATTAATCAAAAAAAGTTTATTAAAAAGAGAAAATCAAAATCAGCTCAAAGATTTATTGGCAGTCTCAGAACTAAACTACATGATGGCAAAACATTGCCCATGAGGAAACATCATGATTATCGCGGTCTCCTTGAGCCCTGGAGGCAACTACTGCCACTGACGATGCTGCCAG